GGGGTTTGGGTGCTCACCCTTGGGGGTTTGGGTGTTCACTCTCAGGGTTTGAGTGCTCACCCTCGGGGTTTGGGTGCTCACCCTCAGAGTTTGGGTACTAATCCTTAGGTTTTGGGAAATGTGTTCCCACTGTCTTTTTTCCCCCTTTTTCCTCCTTTTCTGGCTCATCCCCAGGTTTTTGCAGAGCTGCTCCAGCCGCAGCTTTGCTCTCATCGCTTCTGCGGGGCTAAAGGTGCCTCTGTGTTTACCTTAGCGGTGGCGATGGGGAGGGGAATAAAAAAAAAAAAAGAAAGAAAAAGAAATAAAATGTCACTTCGCAGCCTTGTAAATCATTCATCAAGGGCTGACCAATTTGGCTCCCGTCCTACAATATGCTCAGGGCACTTGTGGGTTTTTAATTACCGAGTTCTGCCAAGCGCCACATGTGCGAGGAACTTTAAATCCCCGTTTACGCTGCGAAGGCATAGGTGAGGTTTTGGGGTGTTTAAGGCGGAAAAATACTCTGTGGTTTTGTGGAAAAATGGGTATTTGCTTCAAGATTTTCTTTGGCTGCTTTGCCCTCCTCCCTCCACTCCGTGTCGTAGGGGGAAGGAGGAGGGCAGCGTGCGTTCCCCCTCCGTCCCCAAATACGTGTCCGTCCTCGCTCCCCACCACTTCGGGATCCGTTTTGCTTTGGGATATTCCCCCAGCAAAGGATTATGGTGTGCTGGAAATCTCTTGAAACCATAAAATACCACCTTGGCAGCTTTATTGCTGCGCTCGCCGCCTTGGGAGAGAAGCGTTTTGCGTGATAGAGGGTTTAATAAAGGAAATTCCAAATGGGCTCGCTGCAGTTTGGGGCTCGGTCTTCGATATTTTTGCATTAAGAACCGTCATCTGCTTTGCAGAGAAACTGCAATATGTTCATGGCCTTGGATTAAGATTTGGTTTTGCTTTTATAGCTGACCCACTTGGGGGGATGGAGGGAGGAGGAGAACTGGGTTCACTCCCTCTCCCGTCTATTTTTGCTGCCGTCTGATGTATAAAAAGAGCCTGGAACGGGCAGGCTTATTTTTCCTGCCAGGACCATTTTATTTTTTTTTATTAACTGTAAAAACACTCAGATCTGGCCTTCACTGTTGATGTGGGGAAGGCTGCTCAGGGTGCCTGGTTCAGGGGAACGGTGAGACCGTGGCGTGGGCTGTGCCTGGGGGTGCCGGACCCCATAGCCACAGGAGTATCCCCATTATTTCACAAAGGAGGTCTGTTTTGGGGGAATTAGCCTGTGCTGTCGTCTCCGGCGCTTGCAGCTTTGCGATGCTGGGGTGGGAAAAGGAACCACTGGACTGGCGTGGTCCTGCCCTTCATCCCGCATCCTGCAACGCCGGCTGCCACGAGAGGACACAGTGGAGGGGGGCACAAGGAGGTGGCCCCCGGGAAGGTATGAAGTCAGCCACATGCTCTCCTGCCTCTACAGGACTTTCTGGTCCAGAATGAATTCCAGTGGGACTGAGTGGACCCTCAGCAGGTTTGCCGACAACACTGAGCTTTGTGGTGTGGTCAGCACACTAGAGGGAAGGGATGCCATCCAGAGGGACCTTGACAGTCTTGAGAGGTGGGCCCATGCGAACCTCATGAAGTTCAACAAGTCCAAGTGCAAGGTCCTGCACATGGATCGGAGCAATCCCAAGCACCAGTACAGACTGGGCGGAGAATGGATTGAGAGCAGCCCTGAGGAGAAGGACTTGGAGTGCTGGTGGATGAGAAGCTCAACATGAGCCGGCAATGCGCGCTGGCAGCCCAGAAAGCCAATCGTATCCTGGGCTGCATCAAAAGAAGCGTGGCCAGCAGGTCGAGGGAGGTGATTCTGCCCGGCTCTCCTTTCGTGAGATCCCGCCTGGAATACTGCATTCAGCTCTGGAGTCCGCAACAGATGAAGGACATGGAGCTGCTGGAGCAGGTCCAGAGGAGGGCCATGAAGATGATCCCAGGGCTGGAGCACCTCTGCTATGAAGACAGGCTGAGAGAGTTGGGGCTGTTCAGCCTGGAGAAGAGGAGGCTATGGAGGAATCTTCTAGCAGCCTTCCAGTACCTAAAGGGGCTACAAGAAAGCTGGAGAGGGACTTTTTACAAGGGCTTGTAGTGATAGGACAAGGGGCAATGGCTTTAAACTGAAAGAGGAGAGATTTAGATTAGATAGAAGGGAAGAAATTTTTTACAATGAGTATGATGAAACACTGGCACAGGTTGCCCCGAGAAGCTGTGGCTGCCCCATCCCTGGAAGTGTTCAAGGCCAGGTTGGATGAGGCTTTGAGCAACCTGGTGTAGTGGAAGGTGTCCCTGCCCATGGCAGGGGGTTTGGAACTAGATGATCTTGAAGGTCCCTTCCAACCCAAACCATTCTATGATTCTATGAATAGTGAGATTCCCCACCAAACGAGGGGCTTCCACCTTGGTAAGCCATAGTCCCTAATAATAACCCTTCATTTTCCAGGCTGCCCAAATCATCGCTGCATTGGCTGTGGTCGGGGGCGGGGCTAGGTCAGCTGCTGCCAGGATGTGAGATTTGGTGGGGTAGGGGTGCTCAAAGCTTTAGGGTAAAACCAAGCCTGAGCAGGCTCACATGTACCCCATCTGCTCATGGGATTCTCTTGGTGGAAAATTTTTTCCACCCATTTTTTTTGTGGTCAACGATTTTCCTCGGCCCTACCATGTGGTTTTAGGTGTGTAAGTGCATTGTAAAAATTTGCGGAGGGAAGAGTTCCATGATCCAAACCCCATTAATGTCACTGAGGTTCCCTTGTAGCTGCCCAGGGAATGGGGTTTCGTTTGGCGATGGGTAAACGAGAGTGCACGTCAGCGGCACAGGTACCGCTCCTAACCCAGCAAGGATGTCTTGCCAGTGGTGGTTTTTAGGAAAAGACCTTTTTCTTACCTTTTTCTTTCTGGGTAGGAGCCTCCCATCATGCTGGTGCTTTCCCGAGGGGGCTCAGTGCTGCTGCCCTCCCTCAGCACTGACCAAGCTGCCCCTTGCACCAGAAAAACCTCTTTTGTCCGTCGATGTACGTCAGGCAGAGGAAGTAAATATGAATATAGAGATGCTGAGCAAAAGCGAGCAGGCTGTCCATGTACCCTGTCCCCATCCCTCCTTTTCAAGGCTGGAGCTGCTCGGGTGGCTTGTCCCGGGGAGGCGTGAGCGGGAGCGTGACCTCCGCAGATCGGGTGTGATGAATTTGGAAATTCATCATAGAGCTGTACTGGTGAGGTCGGGGAAACATCTTTTTCAGAGGACATAACGGAACCGGCGAGCAAGCAAGGGGAGGTGGGGTAAGAACAGGATTTAAAAAGCCTTAAAACAGCTTCTGCCTGAAGTGATGTGTTGGATGAGGCTCCTCGGTGGATTAATGAGACTAAATGCCTGGGTAAATGAATAAATAAGGCCCAGAATTATCCCTGTTTTTTACGTGGCCATCTTCTCCATGGGCACATTGCAGAGGCCGGTGCCTCTCCGGCTCCGAGCATCCTCTGCTGGTCCCCCCGTGGGGGTGCTCAGGGCTCATAGACTCAATGTGGTATGGTAAGAGAGATGACTTTTTTAATGTGTTTTTTTCCTTAACTCCGATTCAAACCCACTATGTTTATCCTGGTTTTGTTCCCCGCAGAGCGCAGCTGCCGCCCCGAGTCCCGTGCTTGGAAACATTCCCCCGAACGACGGGATGCCTGGGGGTCCCATCCCGCCCGGTTTCTTCCAGGTAGGCTGCCGCTCCTCCCGCCTCTTGGCTCCGCACCGCGCACGCGTTCGCTTCCGCTCTGGGTGTCAGCGCTGTCGTGCCTGTGGTTTGGGGTTTTTTTTTGGACAAGGGGATGCCAGGGAAGCAGCACGCCCCCGTAGCTGACCTGTCCTAGGAATAACTCGTGTTCTGCTGTCCTTCCACATTCGCTTTCTATTTTTTGGTGGCCTTGAAGCAAATTTCTTTCTTGCTCGATGAGGTTACTATGTTATTTACAACTGATGTGTTTTTTCTGAAGCTGCTCGGTTTGTGTTTGGGTTGAGATTGTATTTGTTCTCCGGTCCTAACAGACGGGCGTAATTGAAAACATTCTGGATTTTGATTCCTGAAACTTCCCCCCCACCCCCTCTGGTTAACCGCTTGATTTTTTCCAAATGCAATCACTGAAAGCATTAACAAATGTTGGCTGCGGCTGCAGG